TGAGGGGCAGTAAGGAGACCAGTAAGGTACTTAATGATTCTCCCAAAGTGCCCAGAGTGCTACTATTCACTGTGACTGAAGAGGTGGGCTTACACTACCACCTGTCTGATGGGTCAGTATGGGAGGAAACCAGTGAGGTGACTGCTGGTGAAATAAATATTCCCTCTGAAATGTGGTTTGAATCCTAGGCACTCACAGAGCAACTATGATTCTGTATTCTACTTCATGGAAGAAACTTAAATTCACTTGCCAAACGATAAAGGCAGAGGCCATCTTATTCACAGGACTTTGGAAAAATCTCAGTGAAATTGTTTCAGCTAACATTTATTGAGCACTTAGTATGTACCAGGCACTGTGCTAAGCACTTTACATGCTCACAACCCTGTGACATACTCCCACCATCAATCCTGTTTTACAGATGATTATAATGCGCTTCAGATAAATATAACTGCCCTGTTCTCCCAAGCAAAAAATGGAGGCGTGGGGAGTCAAATCCAGTATGTGTGGCTCTAGAACCTGAACAGTTAACCCTGCGCTATGCTGAGCAGTTAACCCTGTGCTGTGCTGAAGTGACACTCCCATCAGGCAGGCCCAAAGCAGCCGCTAAAGCTGACCTGCCGGGTGAGGCCAACGACTCGTCTGAAGGTTGATCAACTTGACATCCTCTGGAAATGCAGTATGTTGGGGATGTCCAAGAACACTTCTAACAAGTCTCTAACCAACAGATCAGGTTAGAGGTAATAAAAGTATGTCACTGGCAGAGGAGGTTCCATGCCCCTGTTTCTACAGTTGGACAGTGAGCATCAACTAAATCAATCAGATGAGCTTGGCTGGTTATTATTAATTAATTAAAATGCCAGGCCATAACTGAATATGGAGACTGCATGAATTCCTCCTGTACCAGTTTAGGTTATTAACATCTGGACCAGTGGCCCAGGGGTGCTTTCATCTGAATTAGTTTTCACAAATACTAGTAAAAGGAAGGACTGAATAAGATCCTTCAGTAAAACCTTTTCTGTATCTGACCCTGATGGAAAGCTACTGTTAGAAAATCACAGCATCAAAATGGACCTGAATGCTCACGTAGGCCAGTTTCCACCCTCTGGGACACCTCTTCTCTGCCGCAGCCTGGCTGGTAATATTGTCCGCTGCCTGTGTTTCTGGTGTAGGAACCACCTCCCCAGGAAGCAGCCTTGCGGACACATTCCTCCCTTTCCTGACAGGCAGTTTGCCTTCCTGTCACCAGCCCTCTGGTCCTCAATTTGCCCTGTGGAAATACAGCTCACACATATTTCCTTTTCCTAGTATTTGGAAACACTGGCTCTTCTAGACTGTGTCATTCTTGCAGTAACCCTGTGACCCCAGGCGGGTGTGCCACCCAATGCTAAGCACGCAAGGCTTGGGGCAAGTCCGGTGAGCACACGGTACAGCGGGTTTGCTCCTGTCAACGACTGGGACTCGGACACCTTTACATCCTGTGACTGTACTGCCTCGCTTGGCATCTGCGTTACACTACTGGTTCCCTCTAAGCTGTGACTAATGGAAACCCCTAGATCATTTCTCATGTGTGAAGGTGAACTCCCAATCGGTAAGCTGACTGAAAACAAACGGTCATGAAATAAGCCATCCTGCTGGGTACGACCCCATCACGTCACAGTGAAACTGGTGGAGGCTGCTTCTCACCGTCTTTGTGAGGATTACTCTACATGCTTTGTTGGGATTGTCTGGCACATGCAATCCAAAAAAACAAGTGGTTACTTACTCATTGGTATTCAAGCTAGCTGTGGCTCTGATGATCATGTAGCAGAGTGTGAGGGCACTGAGGAGGCCAAAACTGGCAATAATAAACCATTCTTCTGTTGACAAAGGAAAGGGAGGAAATCACTCTGGGGAGAAGGCTTAAGTCAAATCGATGCCAATATTTCCCTCAAATGCAACGAAGCGGATGTCAACGGAGGTGTGAGCCAAGACTGGCCCCAGGAAGTGAAGCAGGAGGAGGTTTGCCAGAGAGCTACTAACTGGAGAAGGTTAGTGGAAACAGTGGTGAGAGCTGCAAGGGAGAAAGGAGAGCACAGCCCAACATTCCTCCCAGTTAAGGTCCCGAGGTCTGTGAGGAGAGTGGCCGCCAAACGTGTGTAGCACAACATGGACATGGAATTGCACATGGATGTAGATTTTTACTGTGAAGTTACATGATAGTAAAGTGGACTAGCCACACTCAGAGGTTCTCCTTCTTCATTCTGTCACTTCTCCATGGTTGTGTCATTCTTAGAGAAAGGCTCAGAAATACGTAGTGGCTCCCAGAGGCCTGTGGGTCCTCCACACAGTCTGCAGGCTGGCCTTCCATGGCATGGACGGATACCTTCTTTTCTCCTATGCATGGGTTTACTCAGTCTTTACTTAGAAAGGACATCTTATTAGGGTCTCCTGGAAAGGACCACCCTCCACAGCTTCCCACTGGAAAGCAGGGCTGGCTTGCCTGGCTTTGTCAAGAAGAATGAGGGGAGGTCATTCACAAGGTACTGGGCCCATCCAAGAGCTGAAAACCTCTGGCACACGGAACTCTGAGGGCATTTATCTTGTCTCTCGCTAGATCCAGGAAGTCAGTTAACATTTTCCCTTAACTCTTCAGAGTCTGTATTACCAAGGTAATGTTCCTAGAACATTATTTAGAGAGAACCTCAAAAATAACCTGAGAACCAAATTGGATTCCTGAAAAGTCTTAACGATGAAGTACCTCCTAGCGTGCACACTAACTAGGGCTGGTTTAATAAAGCGGCACAGCAAGATTCCCTATGTACCCGCAGCAAGGCAGAGAGAAGTCTGGGATGACAAATGCTTGACACAAAAAGCTTAACAACATTAAAATGGGTGTTTCTCAATCTGGTTTCCGTGAATCCTAAAACTATGCAAAACTGTGCACCTATGAATTTTTCTAGAAAAAGGTAATTTACTCTCATTGGATTTGAAAGGTGGTGATCTTCCAAAGGTTAAAAAGAACTGATCTTCAGTATTCCAGGGTGCTGAGCTGTTTCACGAGCACTTCTCTGCCCACCTTGGTATATGTTATGAAAATGCTTAGCAAACTCTTTTTAGAAAACAATGTGGCTTCTTAGATTACAAATTCCTCCATACAGTGAATTGAGAAGGTTTTTGTTTGTGTCAAAATGAACATTCAAGAATCCATACAAAATCCACCACTGTCACCCACATATATTTTAGGTAAGGTAAAATGTACCCCGGCATTTTCAAAAATGAAGAGATGACTGCTCATCCACATCAAGGAGCTAAACACAGCATTTTTTATCTTCTCTTCTTAGAAATGTTTATACATGATAAGCAGACTAACTTTAGAACTTCAGTTACAGCTGTGTTTCCGAATTCTGAGTATATCCTTCGTGTACGCATGGCACTTTGGTTATAAAAACTGGTAGCCAAAAAGTGAACACCATTGTAACAACGCCCACCGGGCCCTGGGACTATCAGCACCCCTGCAGCTAGGCCGCAGTCACCTCCGCCCGCCCAGCGTGGATTAGCACAGTGCCCTGCACACAGTGAGTGTTGTCTGGATGCATTGCTGTTGCCATGGCTACAGAGCTTTGAGGGGAAAGCAAAGGCAGCATTGGTCTAATTTGATCATATGAATTTTATTTATCAATGTGCATACATTCTGCTCAAGGTGATAATTTGATATACAAAGTAGTATTTTTTATCATGAAAATGTAAGATCTTGAAAGGACATTTCTATGTAAAACATTAATAGTATGAGTACTTAATGTATTAGTAGGTGCTCAATAAATGTTGGTCAATGAAGGCCTACAAAACTCATTTATAAACAATCTGTCTTCTTTTTCACTACTAGATCAGTTTTTAAAACTCCTGATCATAAAACTTAAATGCCGAAACAGGAAAATAAAAAGCGATTCAAACGAATCATTGGGAAATGGTAAGAAAGGAGTCAAACTATATCAAAGAATAGTTTTCCTTATTTTATAACTGAATGAAGTCTCCTTGAGTTTAGATAAATGACCGAGTAAAACCTGGGAAGTCATTTTCAAATAATGATTTTTGGTTAGTTAAAAAGATGTATACTTCCACTTAACAGACCGCATGTGTCACTACGGGAAGGGAAGGACCTTTCGTAATGGCTCTACCTGGTTTCCTGACTCCCACAAGCCAAGCGGAATCTGTTAGGTTTAGGGCTCAGTTATAGGCAAGCAACAGTACATACTGGAAGAGGCAGTCCCAGAGTGGCAATGAGGAAGATGGCAAAAGGTTGTTAGATGGAAACACCCACAAAGGACGAGGCTGAGGAAGGCTGGCTTGTGGTGCCGCAGTGGTGACCAGCCCACTCTTTCTGCCCTGAGGAGGGCCACTGAGACCCTCGGAGCATTTCTTCTCTTCTTGCCAGCAGTTCCGCAATCAGGATGCTCGTAACTAGCCCAGAGCGTTTTCTGGGGCAGAGCACTACCCTTTGGCTTTTCTCTCACCTCGTGAGTAATTACACCCAAGAGGTAAATACCGAACTTCCTCACAAAGCGAGCAACAGCAGGCCATCTCACTTGGCCCTAATGTTGTGAATTTTTGCTTCAAGTTCTGCATTTGATTTTTACCATGTCGCCCGCAGCCTGGGAACTAGAGGGCACTGGCGCTCAGTCACACAACACACCAGAGATGCTGCCACAGCTCCACGTCCCCTCCCGAAACCACCCCTTAAAGTGCCTGTTGGCAGTGCAATCACTTCCAAACAGGTTTATACACACAACTCTGGACAGTTACTCATCACATGGCAGCCATTCCTATTAATTACACATGAATACTCAAGCTTCTTGTATAAAGGAAGTTTTGCCTCTCCAAGTACCTGTTTAACAAAGTGCCCATGACTTCCTGGGCGGCCTGAGTCGCTGCTGTGGTGCCGGCGCTGGCCTCTGCCCTCCTCCAGAGCAGCACCCCCCAAGAGAGCGCTGCGCTTCCCAGCGCCGGGCACAGGGCCCACTTACTTGTCACTGCGATGTTGATCTCGCCTGTCCTAGGAGTGAGCTCCCCGTCCTGAGGCAGAGGCGAGATCCCCGAAGTTCGAAGTGGCTCGAGGCCAAGGGAGTTGTCGCTGGCGAGGTCGCCTAGGGCTGATCTCCGGTTAAGGGCTTGGGTTCTGGTGAGCCTTTCCATATCGAAAGCTGCGTTATCAGTACAGGGCAAATTTGGCTGCAAAATATTCCCAGATTAAGAAGACTTGTAAGAATGATACAGATTTTGTAGAATTCTAAATGTTTGACACCTTGTTGAAAAGACTTCAAGTTTTTTCCATATGATTTCCTCTCATTTCTCTCCCCATCTACTCTTTCCACTCTCACCCAAGTTTTTCTTTAGAAGAAACATGATTTCCCCCCACAAGATGGTACAAAGGAAAAAAGTCTACTGCAGAACTGAAAAGGCTGGACAGTTCATCTTTATAAAGAAGTGACAACCTTTTGTGACCAGGCTCATAGGCAGAGGGATCCTGTGTCACGACAACACAGCAGACCAACAGTGAAGTGTATCACTTTGAAGTGAATGTTGAGGGACCTCAGGGAATATGAAATACCCCTACCACCCTGTTAATGTCTCCGTGATGCCCAATTTACCTGGTAGCCAGTCCTAAAATATCTTCTACCTTTAAATACAAGTGAACACACGACCAAGAGCACATCAACATTGAAAAGACTTCTGAATGATAAGAAAACTGTTTCCAAAGCTAAGCATCTCTCCCTGAAGGACAGGTACTACAAGTTGTCTATGGGCCAAAGCCTGCCAACTGAGAGCTGGATATGGAAGCCCTAAGATTTTCCTCTATGGGTATCTGTCTTCCCTGGTGACCTTCAATAGCAGACAGCGTATGGGAAGCAGAGTTGGGAAGGGGCGGCTGAGAGAAGGTTGTGTACAGAGGAGTAAAAGCCAACCATGCCCTGAACAATGGCTTCCTGAGCAAAGCATTTTGCTCGAGCTCATACCAAAGCTCAGTTAAAAAATGTATCACAGCCAGAGCAGTAACTGATGCTCATAAGTCCCCAGTCAGGTGTATTGCTTTTTTTTCTCTCTTTAAGGAGCCATGGTAGCTTACAGTACATCTGTGAGGGATTTTCATTAAAAACAGAGGGGAAAGTAGAACTTCAAAGAATTAAGACTTAAAAACAAAACCACCATAAACAAACAAAGGCTGGAGGCAATAACAGAGGCGAATATTTTCCAAAGTGTCTTAAAAACAACCCAACAACAAAGTGTCTACTCTATGCCAGACATTATGGCAGATGCTCTATGCAAACCCCTCACATGGGGTAGCTTTGCCCCCTGGGGGACATTTGGCAAAGTTTGGAGACATTCTGGATGTTATTGGCCTTTAGTAGGAGCCAGGCACACTACTAGACAGGACGGCTCCTGCCAGGTTACCTAGTCCAGGGTCTGTGGTGCTGAGGAAAGATGCTGTGTTCTGGAGACGGAGTAGAAACAGGGCTGGACTGCAGCTGAACTGCCCTCTGTCAGCCTATTTCAAGGACTCCCTACATGTTTGGGTTGCAAAGCTAACATGAGGAATTCATCTGCTGGTCACACTAAACTTTTACTCCATAAGGAGATTATTCATTCACTCTTCTTTTAGGCTAGAAAGAATTTTATTTTCTTCTAAAAGCAATAATCCTGGATATATACTGCTCTTGAGGAAGAAACTGTTGGAAGTCTCCAAGGTCCTTGGTCAGTCACGCAGACTCACCAGGCCAGAGCTCACGTACTCCACCTGGCAGCTGACCAAGGCCCTGGCCAGGCTGTCAAAGGTTTGCCGGGGGCAGACACTGCCCCTGCTCTGCTGCGTGCAACTTACCCACGCCCAGGAGGGCAAAGCCAAATTCAAGAGGAAGTGTAAGTGATGACATAGTTTTATATTATGCTGAGTGCAGAAGAAATTACTACTGGACCAGAGTTGAAAGTCTACATTCTATTCCTTTAAAAGAAAAAAAAAGCTACTGGAATGAAGGAAAATCACACCCTTCTCTCTGCCTCAGTTCAGTACACACCACCCAACAGAAGCATGCTTCCAAGTGGACTGAGCTAGTTCTTTAATTCCTTGTCCAGGAGTTCCCTGAGATGGGCTGAACTTTAGTAACTGGAGGAAAGGCCCTGGTGCATGCACAAACGCCATGGCAGAGAAGGCCAGTGCCTTCCTGCGACTAAGCCATTGATGTATGCTATGGCACGGAGAGGACACTGAACAAAAGCAGCAATGAAACAGGAAACACGAGACAGTACTACACAAAAGTAGTAACAAAAGAGGAAACATACCACAATTCCCAGGGCCTTCAAAATATTAAGTTTGCACATAGGGCAGGTACAATGTTCACTAAGCCAGGGGTCCACGCAGGATTTGTGGAAAACATGCCTATAAAAATAATGGAGAATTGCATCACAAATTTTATACTAAAAAACTGTTAGGCCAAAATGCAAAGAAATGGGACCTTTTAGTCAGTCTGCTTTCCCCCCAATTTTAGACATACTGGGAAGTCCCAAGAGACAGGTATTGGGATGTATAAAAGTACAGATGGCAGAAAATCTCCAAGACCTGATCATTTATATTGTGAGCAGTGTATAGTAGAACTGTGAACTAGTATGTGGCTATTTGGTGTTTTTATTCTACCAAATTCCAAAGATTTTAGGAAACCTAGGAAAATTTACTACGAATGAAGACAATGAATTATACCTTATAAATTAGCTATGTTTTTTTAGAGGTATAAGTAGAAAAATGGAATTTCAAAAAGATATTCAACAAGAGTGAAATCAATGGTTTTCTATAATTATTCATTAGTTTTACAAACTCTGTTTAAAGGTCATTTAAAACATTTAAAAATACTTCTAAGCACCCTATGTTAAATGTTTCTCCAAGTTACAGGGTAGGTAGGATTATTTTTAGGAATGAACTTGCTAACGAATCAGGTAACACTTAGTGGACAGTTCTCAGCTAAGATGTTAAAGGGAGAGAGAGATTACTATCTCTCGTATTCAGGGGAGTAGCAGGTCACATCCTCTAACTGAAAATAAGTCAGTCTTGGAGAGCCTACAGCTCAGCAAAGGACCTTGTGCCCTTTAAGGGAGCTGCAGAAATCATTTCTCAAGTGCCCCCATGGCAGCTTGGAGAAGCTGAGGCAAAGGCATGCCAAAGCGCCAGAGTTGGGCCCAGCAGGGAAAGGGGCAGGCGCAAGGACAGACATTCAGGGCACCTTCACAGCAACTGTGATCTGAGTCTTGGGCTAAAAAAAAAACTGAGAAAGATATCAAATTGAACCATGGCATGCCTTTAAAACTGTGAGTTTATGGTTTCTATATAGCTGTCGGAAAACGCGGTCTTGATTTTAAAAAGCAAATTGTTTTAATTGGGACTTAGGAAAAACATTTGTTACAGCTTCAGCCTGAACCATCCCCACTCAGCTATAGCCACTTGGTGGCCTTGTACCAATTTAATCTTTGGGATGGAAACAAAGAGCTTGAAGACTGAATTTACCAATCTAGTCTGACACTTGCAGTAATGCAACAAACAAGAAGATCCTCATCATTCCTGAAGGCGTTTATTTAAATCTGAAGGATTTTATTTAGGAGGTTAAAGTCACCAAATTGGAGGCAAGACCTAAATTCATTTGGCAAGCTCAGGGCACTGCCGTGTCTGCTTCTTGTTCCCTGGTGTCAGGAATGGAGCCTCCAAGGGGGAGGAAGGGCTCCGCAGAGGGGTGTCTGCAGCCAGGCTTCACTCCCCAGCAGCCGCCAACCAGGACAGTGTCAGCTGCAGCCTAACAAGACCAGAACAAGGCTTTTAATCCTTTCCAGGGACACAGACCCCTTTAGGTCTGACACAGATGACAGCTCGGCCCCTTCCCAGGGTGCATCTGCCTAGTATCTGGCACACGTTTTGGGGGAGCCTACAGCTGAGGGTTCAGTTAGTGTTGGGTGGCATGGGTGCCTGGGAAGCTGCTCTAGGCGTTTCATGTGGGGTGGACCATGCACTTTGGCTGGGAAGAGTATTTGTGTCACAGATAAGGCTAAGTGACTTCATGAGGACCTTGGTTGAAGGGTAACAGTGGGCTTTTGCCTGCCCACCCTCACTGGTGTCTCTCTTTTCTATTGCTGGTTATTGAGAAAGAACAAAATGGGACAATCCCACAGTTAATTCTTCTTTTTTTATTAAGGTATCATTGATATACAATCTTATGGTCAGGTTTCACATGAGCAACATTGTGGTTACTACATTCCCCCCTATTATCAAGCCCCCACCACATACCCCATTATAGTCACTGTCCATCAGTGTAGTAAGATGCTATGGAGTCACTACCTGTCTTCTCCCCACAGTTCATTCTTAAAGCTGCATGAGTTGTGTTTTCTACTTATCTGTTCCTTTAACCCTAGTTATAAATGTATTTCTCTTATGTTGTGTTCTTAATTGTTTCCTTGGAGGTTTGCTGATCTAAAAGAAAGCGTTTGGCCCTGCTGCGGAGCACTGTCTTGAAGGATCACGGAGATTAACTTGTTTTAGGGACAAACCAAGAAAGTCTCCCTTCCTTAGCTAACTCAAAATCCGGAAGAAATTCTTTTTCCTAATAAAGCAGACTTTTCCTTTTGACTGTGTCCACCCCATGGCTTTCCCTTCTCCAATCCCACCCCAGTCAGTTAACCATGCCCCCCATCACCCAGCTGTCCTGATTCCAACACTGGGCTCCCGCACCTGCCCAAAGTTGTGCCTAGTTCCCACAGCACTCTTGCCTTGTGGAAATTAAATGTAGCCCTTCCTCTTCACCTGCTAGCCCTCAGCCACGAGCCCACCTCCTCCGGTTCACTGCTGGCATCGCAGGAGTAGTTGCCCTCGGCCTGGGGCCACTCTTCTCTGCCCCATTCTCTGCAGCACCCTCTTGCTTCCATCCCCTCAGCTCCACTGCTTCCTCAAGCCCAGCATGGCCTTCCCCTTCCTCCCTGCCAAGCCACCCTCTGTGACTCCCACTGTGTCATCTGAAACTGCAGGATGAGGAGGAGAGGGCAGGCTGTATGCTCCACCTGGTGAGGCTGTTTGGAACAGTAAGTGAAACAACATACGAGTAGTATTTGGAAAAGCACCAAGGACTTGCCAATGAAAGATGTTATTAAACATACGCTCAGGTGAAGTAATATGACAGTTTCACAGATCTCCCAGGAAGGGGGCAGGGCCCTCGGGAGCTGCCGAGAGCATGTGGCTAAGCCACAAGGATCACAGGCACCTCAGAGGGTGGCACCAGGCCACCTGGGCCTCGTGGAAAAGCCCCTGCACTCTTCTGAAGAACTTGGAGAACGAAACATACACAAGAGCAGGGAAGGGCCCCATGTGTTCAGGACTGAGCAGAGTCTGGGGCAGGAAGCAGGCGATGTGCTGAGGAGCAGTAAGACCGAGAGGGCCAAGCGCATCAGAGCGCCCACAGAAACATCCTTTATTCCTGTGAGAAGCACGGGGGTACAGAGCGGGGAATGTAACGGAACACAAAAGGAGGCAAACCGGCAATACTGAAACACCGCGTCCTCTCGTCTTACACCCCCGCCACGCACAACCCAGACGGTGATCAGAACACCGGCTGGGGTGGCGGGTCTACACTGAAGGTGAGTTGTTCTCACAGCTCTGCAGCCTCTTGGTGCCATGCAAGAACCTGGCAAATATAAAAGGATCCAGGATTATTAAAGGTCAGAAGCACAACTCTTTCCCCTCTGAGGTGGGGCCTACAGCAGTGCCTTGGCCAGCAGCCAGACAATTGGCCTGGTTTTGCTCCCAAAGCGGCATGTTAGACACATTTCTCTAAGTAGCAGAACGCTATTTCTGAAATGTACTTTTAACTACTGACTTGTGGCTGACCTTTAAATAAAAGGGGTCTAAGCAAGGTGGCAGATTTTCAGTTTCTAAGGCCTGCTGGCTAATATCCACAGGATGATCAACTAGAGTCCACGGACAGCAGGAGGCCCCAGAGCAAAGCTGACTGCCATCTGTCCAGTGAGTCAGCATGGCAGAAGATGGGAAAAGGACAGGCCATTAGATAGAAAGCAGTCCGTGATAGGCTGGCCATCTATAGACAGGAAGTCTCAGTGCAGTCTCCAGATAAGCTTGCTAGAAATAAGGACAGGCAGACACCAAGGCACCTATCCTCTCCTTACTCAGGTGAGGAAGGAACAGTGGGTACTGATCTTTTCCAAAGCCTGGCTGTGTGGGGAGCAGTCGCAGGGTGGTGTTGGAGATGCTGTAAGGACTCGGGCAGGAAATACTAAGCATGGTAAGACACTGGAGTAGGGGCGGGAAGACCAAGGACTGCAGGGAGCAGACAGTCAACAGCACTGGGCCCCTAGGAAGGGAGCTGGTATGCTGAGGCCCCAGTGGGAAGGGCCTCTGGGAACGAGGGCCCCTCCTCCTCCCCCATGGGGCCGGGGGCAGGTCCACACGAGAGCTTGCAGCCAGAAAGCCTAGAGGACTTCACCTGTTGTCAGCCACTGTTTTCTCTGTGAAGCTGGTGTGCAGTCATCTGCTGAGTGAGGAATGAGGGAGGCTGCTGGGGAGAAGGAATTCACCCCATTCACTGGCTGTGGTGACCAGGGAAAGGTGACCAGCAACAGGGACGGGCTCTGGGCATCTGGGCAGATGGCAGGTGCCAGAGCTGACTGGCAGCAAGAGATAAGAAGATGTGGGGGAATCACCTGACTCAGTATCAAACTAGTCAAGAGGATGGGGTCCAGGCAGACTGACGAGTAGGTGAGAGGCAAGAACTAACGTGAAAGTGCTTGGGAGGGACCTGCTGGCCACTTGGAGTAACTGTGTGGAGCATCCTCAGGTCGGTGTTCTCGACTGGAGACGTCTTTGGTGGTACAGCTGTGTGTGGGGCCTACTGGCATCTGGCAGGCGGAGCAAGGACACTGCTGAGTACCCTGCAATGTCCGTCCCCCAACCAAGAATTCCCTGGTCCTAAATGTCAACAGTGCCAAGGCTGAGTAACCGTATTCTAGGCCAGAAGATGTCATCCTGGGTCCCGCAACATGTTGTTAAATGTGCCAAGTTTATTTTTACTACACCTGAGCATCCTGTTGTTACCATTTCAGTGAGGTGAGATAGATGTTCTGCTAAGCGGTTGTGCAACAGAGTTTGGAGAAAGCTACAACTTTCTAAGAAAAACAGTAACAAACATCAACCTGCTCCAAAGCACAAGGCAACCCTGGTATAGTCGGGGCCACAGGCACGTCTGCTTGGTCAGGGACTGGGTAATGGAAGGCAAGCGAGGGAGCAGTGCCCCAGCTATGGTTAGGAAACTCTGGTATGCCCATATTCTCATCTTCAAGACAAGCCATCAAACAAAGGTGGAGAACTTGTCTGGTGGAAGGTGCAGCCAGGAAAATGGCTAAGAGCAAGCAGTGCTTTGGAGCCCAAAGGAGGGCACAGCCTTGCAGCATCAGAACCACCCAGGGACTTATTAAAACTCAACATGCCCCACTTGGGCTGTGTTTCTGGACGCTCTTCCTATTCTGATGCACAGTCAGGTCTGGAAATGGGGGACTAAGTTAAGAAAAATAATTTAAGGGCAAAACTTTGAAAAGTCAATGCTTAAGGGAAGCAAGTTCCTCAGAATAATCTATTTTTGGCCAAGGCTCCCCTGAGGAAGACACTCTCACTTTAGTAATAACCATGGATGCTTGCAGAAGCCTTCGTTCTAGGTCCAGACAGTCCCCCGAGGAGGGCCCTGGACTGAAACAGGAAGACAGAGAATCTGGAAAGACTTGCTTCTTCCTGGTCATGCCAGTGACAATGAAATCTGTGCAGGCAAAAGCATTTTTAAAAGCAGGTAAGAGCTGATTATGCTTTATAATGTATCCTACTGACCTTTTCCCTGGTTTGTATTTCTTTGTATTTTTCCTTTTCAACCTCATGTTTTTGGACTAAATGACTACAGCTCAAGAAAAAGTGTTAATTATATAACTGTATTTTGTGTAAGACAGTTTATGTTTAGTTTTATACATGTTGTTTACATGTAAACTAGAATGGTGTGACTTACAGAATGTTGGTTTTCTCTTTTGGTATATGAAATTATTCTCAAGTTCTATGATTTTTTAAAAAACAGATCTTTGTAGGCTCAAAATGGATGACTTTGTGAATAAGCAAAGCAATGCCAGCAGCCTCACAGAGACAACTACTGACCATGATTTTATTCATTCACATTTCATAGTATTATGGTTGAATGGATGTGTTTTAAAGGAGTGGGGAGAAGGAAGAGGAAAAGTCTTTGATTTTGGCTCCCCAGAGGTGATTTCGTGTTTCCAAACAACACCTGTAAATTGTATGTAGTAACACTTCACATTCCCTAGTTCAGCACCGCATGAGCACCGACCTTCGTATGGGCTCTGCTGTTTGCGTCGTGTGACCCTGGTATCTAGGGGTGGTTTCACTATCCTTCACTGTATGGGGAGGCCTGCACAGAGCAGAGAGCCTGCGCAGAAGCAGGCACACAGTACACATCAGTCCTCCCCACTATGCAAAACCCAGGTTCAGGAAAAGACTTCCTGATTCCTAGAGCCCTGGTACCCTGTGCTGAGTGACCACTGCAGAGGTCTTCCTGGAGGCCCCCAGGTGTACTCAACTGCAGGAGGAGAGGAAACCCTGGGAAGTCACTGACATCAAAGTTCTTGACTTTAGTGCCATTAGGCTCTACTATGTCTGGAGGTCGCCCAGGTGTTCGCTAACTAGAAAGAGCTTTGCAGTCAGTCTGCGCACAGCTCACTGCTAACTCCCACTCCCACTCTGCCATGTGTAGCTGGGCCTCTGCCCACAAGCGGAGCCGTGGGAAAGGTGGCTCTCAGAGGCAGTTGGGACACCCACAAACCACACTAGTACTGTTCCTTTTTAAACAAAGGACACTGACATACTTGCAGGGGAGAATCCGGACAACGTCATTCTGCTTATAGCTCTCTATGCAGACTGCGCAATGATCAAAGTCGGGGTCTGTTTCCTGAAATGTAAAGTACAGAAACAGGTCACATATTAAAGCAGAAGTAATCAACAGAGGGGATACAAGTCTGCTAAGAATTTTCCTGTCGCAAACATGGGAAACAAGTGATTATAACATTCAAGGTCATAAAAAATTTAATGTTTTCATTTGCTTAACTATACTGACTCAAATTACCTCTAAGCCAGTCTATTTTGTTTTTACACTATTTGTAGAAAGTAATATATATGTATTTTTTTTATTAAGGTGTTACTGATATACACTCTTATGAAGGTTTCACATGAAAAAACAATGTGGTTACTACACTCACCCATGCCATCAAGTCCCCACCCATACCCCAATGCAGTCACCGTCCATCAGTGTAGCAAGATGGCACAGATTCACTACTTGCCCTCTCTGTGCCACACTGTCTTCCCCACGATCCCCCACACTATGTGCACCAAACATAATACCCCTCAATCCCCTCCTCCCTCCCTCCCTCCCCACCCTCCCACACCCCTCTCCCCTGGTAACCACTAGTTTCCTCTTGGAGTCTCTGAGTCTGCTGCTATTTTATTCCTTCAGTTTTGCTTCCTTGTTATACTCCACAAATGAGTGAAATCATTTGGCATTTGCCTTTCTTTGCCTGGCTTATTTCATTGAGCATAATGTCCTCCAGCTCCATTCATGTTGTTGCAAATGGTAGGATTTGTTTCTTTCTTATGGCTGAATAATATTCCATTGTGTATATGTATCACATCTTCTTTATGCATTCATCTACTGATGGACACTTAGGTTGCTTCCATATCTTGGCTATTGTAAAAAGTGTAGCAACTAATATTTAATTCTGTTTGTGAAATGTCTTAAATGTCAGAACTCTGATTTGTTTCAAGATTCATCAGCATCACCTCTGGCCACCCTCCTGCCCCCACCCCGCCACGGCTGCCTCGGATTCTGGCCCAGCAGGCTGCACTGCATGCCCTCTGCAGTGGGGTCCCCATCAGTGAATGGCCCCAGGGATGGGAGCTGGTCACAGATCTGGGGCAGAGAGCAGTTAGGGCTCCACTCAATACTGAGTCTTTATCAACAGTCAGGAAGAGTCAGCCAGGGTATGTGATTTCCTTCTTCTGGACTGGGGAGGAGCAGGAACCTCAGTCAGGAGAGGTGAGACTCTGGGCTATGTTACTGCCACTTGGCAGCTCCTGGTGGATTTGGGAGGTACACACACGAAAAAGGTGTTGGTTTTAATGAGGAAGACTAGCCTGGGGCAGAGAGTAGACTGGGTAGGTCAGACCAGGTCCTGGGATCAGCTCAGTGGCAGCTGTAGGCCCCCAGGCCTTGAAGGCATGTTGCGGGGCCACTCCTCTCAGTGGCAGTCCTGTTCTGAAGCAGCTCATGTTTTCTGGAAGTGCTTTGCTCTTCTCTCTGCTTAGTGTACAAAGCTCAATGAAAACACCCCCACCCTCTGGAGCTGTGTTGGGAGAGCTGAACATGGTGCCCAGGCAGTGGGAATAAAATGGGCAAAGCCAAGAAAGGATGGAGAATCATCTCAAATGTCTTTCCAGAGCTCTTTAGCCAAGTACTAGAGTTGGGTGTGGGTTGGGCAGGGGAGTGTTCTGGTGCTCTCCCTTTAGAGATGCAATTTTTTCGTTCTGGACAACCCTGAATTTATCGAATGTAGGCTCTAACATCAACTTGCTATTTTTCCTTACAGAACAGAAGCAGGGCTCTACATCACTTGAGATCTGCCTGGGGAATTCTGGTTAGTGGCCTCCAGCAGAGGCTCCATCACTGCCATTCTCATCCCATCCTGCAGGCCACTAGGGCCAACCCTGACAAGCTGCTCTTCTTTCAAACTGCGCAGCCTGCTGTGCAGAAAGCGCCTTGTGAACGACATCCCTGGAAACATGGTCTCCAATTCTCCAGTTAACTGGGAAGAACTAAAACACACAGGAGATAGACAGTCTCGGGAAGCAGAGGAAGAGAACACACAGTCCTGGCTACTCTGTGTATAAGTTGCCCACCCCACTGGAGGTCTGCCCCCCACAGCTGGGACAGCTGTGAGCAGGCTGGTGAAGCTACCAATGGCCAGAGTATTTAAAGCCCAGAAAGTGAGATAACTGTATGGAGGGCCCCCAAGTGACAGGCATACTGAGAATAAGATTTTGAAGAGAAGCTAGTTTAAAATAAAGCATTAGATAGCATACATGCTGAAAAAATCATCTAACAAGACACAAACAGTTACGGTGTATTCCCTCCCACTGCATCAAAAGCAAACTGCTTTGGTACTTTTATTGCATTAAAATTATTTCATTACTGTACCTTATCGCCCTTTTTTACTGTTCTGGTTGTCAGTTTGCTGATGGCTTTCTTGGCTGCGTCTCCAAGACGACGCTATGAAAATTGCAAAGAAAAACAGACATTGAGTACAAGATGTTCTTTACTTTAAAATAATTAAGCATATAGAAGTCCCTGTCATCCTACTGCACTCTCCATATCGTATCATGTGAGGACTCTAAAAAAAACAATAAAAAAATTAGAAAAGTGGGCAGTTTTTCCACAGATTCCAGCATTCTGGCTGAATAATTAAAAAGTGTACATAGTGAAAAGGCCAGGCATCGCATCAGCACAGCGTTTTGTATTTGGTAAATATCTGAAGTACAACAGCATTATAAAGAACTACTTCTTGTACACGTTAGAGCTCCTACTGCTGCTCTAATAGCTTTCTTTCCTGCTCCAAGGATGGCCACTATTAGAAGTACGAGCTCTGCCTTAGCACAGGGACACCTCCAGCGCCCCTTGAAATGCCTTTTCATATCATCTGTGCAGAAGAGATGCTGTCATGAGCTCTCCTTCTGTCTCTGCCAATCTTAGGAGGGTGCACATACCTTTCCAGGGTTGGGTTTTCTCATTTATTTGAGAAACTTAAGTCAGAGAATCTGTGAGGCTGGATTTATCCAACATTTTGTCAGACATTGCTAGCACTCCAACACACCAACGATGCAAAGACAAGACAGCGTACCCCCAGTGCAGGCACCAACTGAACTGGGGAGAGACTGGTAAACACACTTTAACTGAGGGTGTACAACAGAGCAGGCCCAGGTGGAGACGCAGCAGCAGAAGGCAGCCCCACGCGGGGGTGGGCAGGGGGGTGAAGTGCTGTGACAGTTCGGACAAGTGAGGCCTGAGCTAAGACCTGGGAAACAGAGCTGGGAGGAGTTAGATAAGGAAAAGCCTAGGGTAGGAAGTGGGACTCTGGACAAAGGAGTAACTAGTAAAGACAAATAGGTGGGCAGCCCAGGTATGTGAATGAAATTATAGTTCTGCATTAGCAGGGCGAGCATCTCTTTTGAAATCAAAATATTTTGAGAGTCAGAGTGCCCTACTAGTAACTACACTGGGACGACAGGTGCCAACAGGCATATTGGGACACACGGCCACTCTGCCCATAACACACCCGAAAGCGAGAGGCAGATGCTGGTGCTGAAGGAGTATGGCAGGAGCTAAAAGAAAGACCTTAGATTCTTACCTGAGCATTAAAAAAAATGTAGAAACATAAAAATTTTAGGGGGAATTAAAAAATAACACAGAAGAAAATGGAATAATTTAATGTGCCTCTATGTGTCCATCACCCAGCTTCAATCATCAGTATTTCTCTGTGTTTCTCATCTACTCCTTCCTTTTTATTGTGCTCAGGCATTGTGTGACATTGCCCAAAACGTCTTCACTGTTTCTCCAACAGACAGGCTTTCATTTGGTGTTACTGTCTTATCTAACAAAATTAATCAGTATCATACTCAGGCTGTTCTACCATTGCCCAGTTGTATCTAGAACGTCTTGTTGGCATTGGCTTGGGTCAGGATACAAAGTCCAAGCCCCGCATTTGGTTGCTATGCCCTTTTAATCCAGGAGTCCCCTCTATCATACATTCATGGAGATATGATTGACTTTATATAAACTGCACATATTTAAAATGCACAATTTGATGTTTTAACATGACCCATGAAACCATCGCTATGGTCAAGATATTATATCTACTATTCCATCCACCAATATTCGTGGTCTCTTCCTAATCCCTTCTTTCTGTCCCCCTTCTACTCCATTCCCTCCAAATCCTACTTTCTGCTACTACAGTTTGTATTTGTTTTATACAAATGGAATGATATAGTATGTACAATTCTGTATATGCTTTTTCACTCAGTGTAATTATTTTCAGATTAATCCACATTGCTGCATGCAGTTCATTTCTTTCTTACCCTATGTAGTATCCCATTGTATAGATATACCACCATCTATTTACCTTTGTACCTGTTGATGGGATATTTGTATTGTTTCCCAGTTTTGGGCTGCACAAAATAAAGCTGAAAACAACATCCTTTATGTATACACGTCTTCGTGAGGCACATATATGCTTTCTTTTTCTGGAGAAAATACCTACGAAGTAGGGAAGACTGGCTAACATGGTAGGTGTGCTGAACTTTTGAAGACTGCTGCAGTGTTTTCAAAAGTGGGTGATCCACTTTACTCTCCACCAGCAGTGTGAAAATCCCAACTTCACATGCTCACTGATACGTGTTACCACTCTAACAGATTTAAGGTAGCATTCTTTCTGGGATTTTAATCTACATTTCCGTAATAACTAATGATGTCGAACATCTTTTCATGTGCTTACCATCTGCATATCTTCTCTGGTGATGGATGTTCACATCTTTTGCCCATTTATCTACTGAGTCATTTTCTTATTGACTTGAGAGAGTATTTTACATTTTGTAGATACAAGTCCTTCTGCATATGTTTTCTCTCATTCTGTGGCAGGAGTTTTAAACTTTGATGAAGTTAATTTATCAATTTTTCATTTGTGGATTGTACTCTGGGTCATATCTAAGTAATCTTTGCCCATCCGAAGGTTACAAAGGTTACAAGACTTTTCCCTATTTTCTTTTCTATAAGTTTTATTGTTTTAGGCTCTCTCTGTAGGCCTCTAATCCATTTTGAGTTAATTTTGTATATGGTATGAGGTGTTGACTGAAGTTTCTCTCCCCCCCGGTCCATGATATACAATTGTTTGAGAACAATTTGTTAATTTGTTGAAGCTGTCCTTTCTCCACTAAACTGCCTTTGTACATTTGGCAAAAATATACTTACCATGAATATACAGATCTGTTTCTAAACACTATTTGGTGTCATCAATCTATTTTTCTATCATTAAGCAAGTATCACAGTCATGATTTTTATAGTTCTGTAATAAATTTGAAATCAGGTAGTGTCAGCCCTCCAACTGTCTTTTCTTTTCCAACCCCTTCAAGGTTGCTCTTGATTCTCTGCATTCCACACAAACTAGGTTCAGCTCACCAATTTCTATTTAAAAAGCTATCTGGGATTTACACTGTGATTGCACTAGATATATAAATTAATCAGAGGAGAACTGACATCTTAGCAATATTTGTCTCGCCCTGAAATTGTGCATCGTTCTATGTACTGAGTTCTTGAAGTTTTTACTATACAGTTCTTGCACATCTTTTGTCAGAATGATCTCTAATAAAGCTACTTAAAAAAATTCTCATCCACTGCTTGTAAAGAAATAAAACTGATTTTTGTATTTTGATTTAACATCTCTCAACCTTGCTGAACCTATTTGTTAGCTCTAGAAGCTGTTGTACAGATTCCATCAAATTTTCTACAGACAATGTCATCTGTGAATAAAGACAATTTTATTTCTTCATTTCTAATATGGGTACCTTTTCTTTCTTTTCTTTTGTCCTTGTTGTTCCAGTTAGAACCTTTATTACAATGTGGAAATAAAAGCTGTCAGCACAAATCCTCCTTTGTTCCTGATCTTAGGAGAAAAAGCATTTAGTCTTTCACTGTTAAGTGTGATGATAGCTGTCAGTTTTTTCTAAATGCTTCTCATCAGTTTACAGAACATTTTATACCTAGTTTCCTAAAAGTTTTAACATCAGGAATAGATGCTGGATTTTGGCAAATGTTTTTTCTGTATTTACACATGGTTTTCCTTTATATATTTGTTATTATGATAACATATTATTATTATTATTTTTTTTTTTGAGAGGGCATCTCTCATATTTATTGATCAAATAGTTGTTAACAACAATAAAATTCAGTATAGGGGGGTCAACGCTCAATGTACAATCATTAATCCATCTCAACCCTAATTCTCGTCAGTCTCCAATCTTCTGAAGCATAACGAACAAGTTCTTACATGGTGAATGAATTCTTACATAGTGAATAAATTCTTACATGGTGAACAGTACAAGGGCAGTCATCACAGAAACTTTCGGTTTTGATCATGCAATATGACCTATAAACAATCAGGTCAAATATGAATATTCGTTTGATTTTTGTACTTGATTTATATGTTGATCCCACATTTCTCCTATTATTATTATTATTTTTATTTTTAATAAAATGCTGAAGTGGTAGGTAGATGCAAGATAAAGGTAGAAAACATAGTTTAGTGCTGTAAGAAGGCAAATGTAGATGATCAGATGATCAGGTGTGTGCCTATGGACTAAGTATTAATCCAGGCTAGACAAGGGCAGCAAGACATCCACGGATGCAGAAGATTTCTCTCAAAGCAGGGGGGGTGAGGTTCTGAGCCTCACCTCTGTTGATCCCCAAATTCTCACCTGATGGCCCCCCTGCGACTGTGCCTGTCTTAGGTTGTTCCTCCCTTGAGGAATCTTACCCGTCTCTGGCTAACCAGTCATCTTCCGGGGCCATACAGGGAAATGTAAAGTTGGTAAGTGAGAGAGAAGCCATATTGTTTGCAAAGGTTAGCTTTTTACTTCTTTGCAGATTTATGCCCTGTGGCTTCTATGCCCAGCACTTGTCTCGAGGTATCTTTACCACCTGGAGGAATTATGATACTCGGTAAATTCGATATGAGGCACGAATTCTATTTAAGGTTTGTAATTAGGAAGGAAGAAGAAAAGCTATAGATGTAGCATATGAAGGAAACTTGGGAGGATTGATTATTTCTTTGACATATCTTCTTGTATAGTACCTTAAGTATGTATAGGTTTTAAACTACTAACTAATTTGCACACACATATTAACATAATAGGAATACGGTGACATAAACAAAGCAAATCTATAATTACCAGCCATCTCCAGTGAAGCCAAGAAAACCATTTAGGCACCCTAGGCATTTGTGAAAATTTATCTATGATATGATGGATATTTTCCAACTGTACTTGAACCATCAGACAAATTAAAGCAGCCCATTTCTGGGATCTGTTCACATCCCATATGTTCTTTTAACCATAGATAGTCTATAGTCATGAGATTTTGGGGTGCTACAACTTGCACCCCTCCCAACTCCTGGTTGAGTTCCAACAGTACAGATCCAGTCAAATTCGTTGTCTCACTGTATG